CAGACTCGCAGATTTAAATAAAGGCTTCCGATATATTTTCACATTTACCATTTTCATAAGTCAATTTATGTTAATGAACTACACTTTACAATCTTAGCAAACCTTGTTACATGTTTCCGTACTTACGTAAATACACTTCAGAACGTTTGTTTGTTTATGAGTATGAATCCATTAATGTGACCTTAGTATGCAAGTACTACAAAGAACTTCCTTTGTCTGCAAATGAAAAAGTGTAAGTCATAACAGTGCATCATGGTATCTTCATACATTTCGTTCTTGCTTAAATAATCATTTTATCCTACCGTAGTGATAATGTAGTTTATTTTAGTACGCTGCAGAAATCGGAGAGCCTTATAAAGAAATCCCTTATGTGTCACTATACCTAACAGAGACAAAATTATACGAGAAGCTGCTAAGCCCTGGGGTCTGCGTAAGATAATCATACGGTTATAATAACCAATCATTTCAGGAGATATGGACGGGTGTTGTGGATCAAATAAAGAATGGGATGATTATGTCTAAATGGTTTTGATTCAGTATCTACGACTGTACTACATAAAGAGAGTAATTTTTTTAGACTGGTCAGGATGGTGTCAAGATATTATGATTGGGTGTTCCATCGTGCTACATGTCTCCAGCATGATACCCCAGTACTACATTACTATAAACTGCCACACTGCAGACATCGTAGCGATAGCGATACGATTTAAATTCTTAAAGCTAGGTTAACAATCTAAATCACACACCCATGCATGAATATAATATCGATCATCTTCATTATTGTATATATAGTTTAATATTTTTGTTCTGTGTGACTTATGTACAGTTCCAAATATGAATCTTAGAGCAAGAGTATATCGGCGATATCGGCGATAAAACCAAATCCAGCTTAATAGAATATGTCGTTTTAATGTTGATAATTGATTGAACTGAGTTGAAAATGACTACCAGAGCATAACTCGTTACAGAAATAGGGGAGTAGGGAAGGAATTATTAGCATTAAAGTTCAAACGTCCATTGCTTATGAATGAACAATACAAATAATAAGAAATGATAAATGGTCCATGCATGGTAAGCCATCCCTGTTTTCCGAATAATACTCGGATTATTTATTAGGCTTAACAAGTTGAGAATTAGTTTTCTTCAAACTATTTAAACACTTAATAGAGTATTGGGCTTTTAACCCTTAATATGTTATCAAATAGTTCTTCGTTCTCCTTACGTCTTTGATTGTTTCAATTAAGCAAAATATCAGAGGAAAATAAGTATGTTTTATTATTTGCAATGTGGGAATATTATAATGTTAGGATTAATTGTACAAAACAATTATCTGCGCCCTGTACAAGACAAAGTGTTTTTTATGGACACTTTTCTGTACCTCACACCTCTATTACAAAATTTTAAAAATATAAAAATAAGCACAATAGTAATGTTACTAATATTTATACGGTTAGATCGACTTGAAAATTAATGGTTTTAGTTCTTTGTCAAATGTAGATGGAGAGTTTTTGTAGAACGTAAATATGGAACTTCAGAGATACCGCTTCCTTTCTTCTAATAGTACTAGTAATGTATTAGTACTCTACGTACATGCGTTTCCTGATCCTGGAACCGACGTACTTGGACTCGTAGTGAGTAATTTATGCACTAACTGAGTAAAAAACAAATGAAAACTGCAAATAAAGGGGGATAAATTCCTTGTGCTTCAGACAGCTCTAAAGTTACACATGGTTTACGTCCCTTACCATTCACAAACTCCAAGTATAGAGAAACGCAAATCCTACTTTCATCTATGTTGGTATGGCGTCAATGCACGTACTGAGAACCAAGGACTGTTTTATGTAATAGGCATATTATACCCTGTGTCTATGGCCAACGAATGCCATGTTACTGACAGTGTAGTCACAAAGAGGTAGGGTCAACTCAGTGTCAACCATTGTAATAAAAATGTCCCTTGGCCTTACATAAGCCTTAATCCAGCCTTGGAATTAGTGACTAAAACTTTGCCAAATCACGAGGTCGTTACATCATATACCGGAAATAAAATGAAAGTAGTAACCATTAATCATTTGGGCTCTAAAGATTTGTGGGATACGGGGTGCCGGTTACTGAAAAAATTTGAATGATATATTTGATTGATCAAGCGTAATATTATTTGACCATAACAAGTAAATCTAAATCAATTCATTTGCAAAAACTTGTTTATGTTTATGCATATGGCAGGTGTTAAGCTTTTTGTGTCCAGAAATAGAATTAACCCGTGCCTGGATTCTGCTATCGAGTATTTATGCCTGGGAAGAAAATAGGTAGTAAAGTGGGATTATATCACGCCATTTGGCAGGCCTCAGAAAGGGCGGCTTTGATACCATTGCATCATTCTGAAAACGAAAATTTCCAGCTAGTTTGTATAATTGGCAATAAAATGTCACGACAAAAGTCTACGTTATAAACATGATGAACTTCGATCATCTGCATACAGAATATGTAATACATCTATATA